GTGTATATATAGAGTACCTCCCGCAGACACCATGGTTTGTGGCTGCCTAGCAGTAGAGAACTGTAGAGCATACCGAGCTGTGTATGAGCTCATGACAAGGTTAGAAAGATTAGCCCACAGATATTTTCTTTCTAATATATGTATGTGTAATAGCTGTCTTAAGTGGTTATTTAGGCATTTACACTGAGCTCATCACAGTAATATCTGAGTTAAAGCTTAGTGGGGATTGTTTTTTGTAAATGTTCCCATTAAAACAAAAAATGTTCCTAACTCAACAGTCACTAACTTTTTGCATCAAAGATCTTCAGAATATTTTTCCCTGAAAAGGATAGCCTAGATAGAATTTGATGGTGAAGACTTTGGGCCACCACACAAGAGAAGCAGGGCAGAACACCTTACCATGCTACAGATGTGTTCAGTAACTTCTGGTTTTCTGTCAGCAACCATCTCTAAAAACTAAAGAAATGCTCAAGGGTTGTAGAGGTAATTAAATACCATGGTCTTTCACTCTCCAGCTTTTTCTTCTCCTGATATCTGTCTGCAAAAGTTGGAGTGGAGGTAGTTTTTAGTGGTAAAACTCTCTGAAACTGGGCTGGTAACTAACTGAGTTTCAGAACAATGATAAACCTAGCCCAGAAGTGAAGATCTGATGGCCTGCTACCAAAACATACTATCTCATCCATCTCTTATTTTCTCCTTGCAGTAGTAATTATTTCAAAAGAATCTGGGATTAAAGCTCAAGTAGCTCATCACTCTGTATAAATGTCAGTCCTTTAGAATGTTAATTAGTTTCTTTGCTAGGAACTATGAATATCTGTCTCTTCCCTACCTTTCTCCCTCTCTAAAATAGCTTTCTATTTCTGATGTCATTCCTGATAATCTTTGCTATCATGCTTATTAACTTTAAATATCTTGACTGCACACCAGAGAAATATTGTCCTTCAGTGAAAGTCCCTAAAGGAAGTTGCCTAAGTTTTGCATTTATTGTGGTTATTGCAAATACTGAAAAACAGAGAGAAGAAGTAAAAGGCAGCTCATGGGTCTTTTTAAAGAAAGTTAATACTTGTAGAAGAACTTATCCAAGATTCTTTTGCTCTTTTCAGTTCATGTAGACAGCTCTTTTGTTTATGGACCCATGTTAAATACATTCTGGCATAATAACATACATTTAATGTTGCTAATAACACTCACTGCTTTGGCACTGAATTCTACTCTGAAGAGGGGAAATTTGCCCTAGTTTCAGAGGGCGGAAGTTAAATGATTTGGATTATGCTTCCATCCCAAATTTGCACTGAATCTCTAAGTTGAAACCTTACATGAATGTGGTTGCAATTATATCTCTCCTTATAAGATATATGAATTTTGGATTCCAAGTGGATTCCAAGTAGTTCAGTGTTCTAGCAAAGGATTTTGTGTGGAACTGCAGAACTGCTTGACTAACTGGTTGCCTTCCCCTCTCGCTAAAGGGGCCTCTTTAACTTCAGGTCAAAAGCATAAATTTGGAGTTATCTGTGGGGCAACAGTTAATACTCAGAATTCTGCACAGACAAATCCTAAGAACAAAAAGAATCTTGTCTGGCCCTTTTTTTGCTGTTTTTTTCTCCCACAAACTGAATAGAACTGAAAGGTTAAAATTAATTCTCTGGCTATTTGAAAGCAAAAATCAGTGACTCAGAAAATATGTTCTATTGCTGGCATTTCACAAGCCACTGTTCAGACTTTGGACAACTGATTTGTCTTTTCTGTGCCTAGTCTCCTCCTTTATTGAAAAGAAAAAAAAATAAGGTTGGGAAGATGATTTTGATGTTTTCTCAATGGGTATTACAATATCTTGCTCACTATTCTATGGCTGCCCTTTGGAATTCAGGAACACATATTGTGAGAGATTTCCAGGTAGACAACTGATTTTCTTGGACTTCAGATTTAGTTAAAACTTATGCAGATCTCACTTACAAAAGTGATGAGTGGCACAAAATCAAGTGAATGAAGTGAAATCTGCCTGCAGATGTTAATATAGCACGCCAGATCTGTGTGTATGGGAGAGATCATGTCACCTTGCAGCAATAAACCCTCTTAGTGACATGAATCTCTTACTGACATTGGAAAATATTTACTTGTTTAGTTCAAGTTTTAAAGGTTTGTGCTTTGTGATCTGACAATCCTGAGATCTTATACTCCTGTGCAAGTTTAGTGGGGAATATTGTAGTTGCACTGATTTTTGAAGATTTACACAGCCAATAGATGAATCTAAGAGCTTTTGGCTCCAATCTATATCTTGCATTACCTAATATATTCATTTATCATGTGCCAATTTTTAAGCACATGCAATTTTTTAAGCTTTCAGGGAAGCTTATGGTGTTGAATTCCTGAGAAAAATCTAATATTTCTACATTTGCAGCTAATTCTGTTGAATATGAATCAAGAAGAATGTAGCTGGGATAACACTGGGTAAAGTTATTTAGAGATGATTGTTTTTCGTAGCTTAAAAACTAACCCCAAGATACCACACAATCCAGAAACTGTATTAAAAGCTGAATATTACAAATCTGGCATTAATTACAAATTCCAACCCTAATGTCAGTTGCATAATAATAACTTTTTTTTTTGAGTTAGATTTGCAAAAAGGGAAAACCCAAGCCTACAATTCAAAACCATCGTAACCTCTATATTTACTTTTTCTGATCAGATTACTTGTGTACCAGCATTCATTGGTTAGCGTATTTTAATGTTTATAAACTAAATCTTGCAGCAGTTCTTCAGGAAAAATGGTAATTGCAGCTATATTTAGGTTATTTCCTTTGGGTTTTTTAATTGTTTCTTTTATTTTTCCCTATCCTGTCCTGTCCTGCTCTGTCAGAAGCGTCTTTTGAATTTCCTTAGTATTTTTTGTAGCAATGAGAACTTTGACTAGAATAGAAGAAGCAGCATGGAGTTAGACCATGTGTGATGACAAAGTGGTTTAATCACATTCAATAGACCATCAGTTTTTTAGTCTGAGTTGCTGTACTCTTGGTAACTGAAACTTACTTGATTTAGAAATGAGGGTCTGTAAATTCCTGAATTCCTAGGCGTGAATCAATATTTCTGGGTGTGAGGTAGTTGCCAACAGTGATACAAAATGTTTCAGAGTCTGGTTTAGGACTCTGGCACTTGACAAGGGTTCTGTGCTTTAACTATCAGATGATTCCTTATCAACAAAGGTTGATTTCCAGCTCTTCAGAACAGCTGTGTTCAGATTTTAGAATCTGCATCCGGAGGTATTTATAAATGCTGCATTCCTGTAAGAGGGACCTCTGAGAAGTACCACAGGCTCTTTACCCATACCACATCCCTGGATATTCAGAGAGTACACTGATAACTGTCATTCAGAAATCTTAAGTTTAAAACATGGTAGTGGAAAATTGCTGCTTTGGGAATTCCAGCAGAGGTGAAAGAGACCGGTCCAAAAAGCCAGGAGACTGAACTCCCATCATATTCACAGATTTATTGGATGACAGTGTAAACTTTTCTACCAGTGTACTTCAGACCAAAAATGAAGGGAGATTCCTCAAGTGGAGGAGAGAGGTTGGCTATTGGAGTGTTTCCTCCAGATGTTGGCTACCAAGGCTGTGAAAAGGGGCTTAACCCATCCCTTGCCTAACTCCGTGTGCCCCAGTAACTTAGGCTGTCCCTTACTAGTGCAAGCTGTGATAATGGCTTTCCTTATGTGGAACTGTGTTTACAGAAATCAGACTGAGTTGGTCTTACAGGAGCCATCATTATCGCCTCTTGGTAACCTTGCAAAGCAAGGGACTACAAGCCACTGTTCTCTATTTTCATAACTGAGGTAATTAGTGCCTGGCATCTGTAATGGATATAAAGTATATAACATCAGAGTTTCTGAAATGACACTGTTTTCATTATATGCTTAATTTTTCAAAGAACATAAAGGCAGCTACATCAAACTGCCAAAGAACCTTTTTTAATTAAAGCCTCTATCTTTACACGTGCTTTTTTCTTTTCTTCTCAAGAGATGTAAATGGTTTGAGCCATGGAGAGAAAGATAAAAGGAACCCCAAAGATTGTTTATACATAACCTTTAAGACTGTAGCTACTTATTTTGCAGGAAAGATTATTTTGTCTGGTTGATGTTGGAGCAAGTTATAGAGCGGTGTGACATAACTCAGAGTTGCTTTGCAGTGCTACAGAGGCAGACAGTGACTGGAAAGATGCCTTACCTAGTACTGGGAGGTTTCACCTCACACTGTAGATCCTGCATCCAGACTTGGTGCACTTCTTTCCTAGAGGTGACATTCTTATATCTACTGTCATTCAGCTGTTTATGATCCATGCTTTGGATTGCTTGATTTGCCTGAATTTGAAGGAAAATACGAAAGTGGTTTACAGCTGGTTCCCCTTGGCTATCTTGAAGCTTCCTCTGCTATAGCTTAGTACTTGAACTGTATGTGATTGTGCATCATTGCTATAGTGTGCCTTATATAGGAGAAAGAGATTAGAACAACACGACATTGTATTTATCCCTGGAGACTGGACATAGCTCTGAAAAGCTAACTCTGAATCTATTGTATAAATCTCCCAGACTTCTTAGCCCAGGATTTTACCTAGGAAGCTTGGGATTAGAATCCAACTCATTTAGTTGGCAGGACAGAATTTGAATGGAAGGTTTCCAGTCTGTTTCACTGAGATCATTTAAAAACCCTGTAGCTTTTTTTGATTAGCCTTGCATTGGCTACCAACGGCATACGGTTCTGCGTTTCACTGTAGGTGCTATTTGATCTCTTAGTGCTAGGAATACTGGTCTAACAGCCACGTAACTTTGGATAAGCTGATCCAAAAGGTGAATGGTTATTCAGGCAAAGTTTACTGTTTGTTTTCCTGAGATAAAGACTTAATGTAAATGACTAAATGTAAACAAAAGCAGGACTTCAGGAACTGGCGCCTTAAAAGCTGGAAGGCAAGAGTTTGGAGACAACTAAAGGAAGATCAATTCACAAGAGCTGAGTACAGATAGCACTAATTTTTATCTTTATTTTTATATTTTCTTATATATTATCTACAAGCACAAGCTTTCATATTTTTTAATGTAAAAATGCATACATAGTTATATATATAAAAAACAAATAGCCTTGTAGCAAACTGCCAGATGCAACTATCCCCAGGTTTGGGGACAACTTGTCTGGATCCAAGTGCAGACTTAATGGCTGACCCTCACTTCCATCATTAGTTGCACTGAACCCCGAGATATGAAGATTCTCAAAGTTCTAGGGAAGTTTTGGTTCCTGATCCAGGTCTTGCAGCATGGGCGTGACTAACTCTTCATCAATTGAAGATAAATATTTAAAAACTTCATAAATGGCAATCAACTTGTTGTAGAAAACAAGCGTCCACCTCACCTTTCTTCCCCCTTTTTATTTCTCTTTGTTCTCATCCTTTATCCACACAAATGAAAAAGGGTAGAAGAGAGGAATTTAATACTAGTGTGTCATATGCGTACATTTAAATAGCAGTAGTAGAAACAGAATTTAAACTGTTCATGTCTGCTGTGCAAAGGCTACTTAATTTGGGTTTATGTTGCATTTGGCCTTTTCAATGCTTCAGCACATTTTGGCTCAATTTGTACATTGTAGAAATAGGACATTTTTATAGCATAGCTAATAATATTTTGCAACATGGTGAGCAACAGTAAATTAGATTGCATTTAATACTATGTAGTATGCATCAACAAATTATAATATACTATATTATAACTGACTTGACAAGCAGCCCATTACACAGAGGAAAAAAAATTAATGAACAATTAAGTAAAGAAATCTGTGTTTGTGCGGGAGGAAGGGTCACAAAATAGAAGCCTCCTTTTTGCCTGAATGTTTATCATATTCGGCAGTTTCCAAATTCAGTCTTTGCAAAGGAATGTTACTATTTTTATGAGAGGTTCTTTATGTAACAAGTCATGTTTGCACAGTGGAACATTTTCTTTCACCAGGATTTTATAACTTCCCCATACCGGATAGTGTAAGCAAAGATGTAACTTGCTGAGATTCTTTTGGAAAATATTAGGGCCATAACTGAGCTTCTCTTTCCTTTCAGCTCTCCCAGTATGAATATGATTAATTTATTTTCTGTTGTAATTCATATATTACTTTTTTGTATTTTAAATGCAGCTCTACTCTGAAAATCAAGGCAGAATTTTAGAGAAAAAAATAGTTGTTCTAGAGAGAGAGATAAATCAGTTGCTTAGAATACCGACATAAGGACTTACATCGTCAGGTATGCCGCTCTGGGATTTACAGGTAAAGATTTTTTTTGCTTCAGATTTGAGCAACATCACCGATTTTAAAGATAACAGAATGACTTAGTGCCTCAACAAACTCTCACAGTCGCTCCTGATGTTATAACATAGGTGACTGCAAGTTCAGGCCTTCAGCTAATGACTTTTGGTGCATTAATAGGCACTAGCTCATTCTCTCACACTTGTATTGATTCCGCATTACTAACAGGACTAACAAGGCAAAATCTGACTTTTTACAGAAGTTAGAGGTGACCAATAGTTTGGGAACAGATGTGTCAGAGATGGTGACATTTCATCTGTTGCCAGAACCTCCTACCCAGAACAATACAGTGAGGTTTCCACTGCAGTGTCTGTAGCTGATGTACAGCAGCATACCTGAATACGGGGGCCAAAACACAGACACTGATTCCAAAAGAGCGAATGAATTTTCACTATCTAGACTGAGGTAAACAGAGAAAATAAATAGCAGCCCAAATAAAACATACATTTGAAAGTCATGTCCTTTAATGTTGATTGGGTTAGGGATGTGGGTGAGAGAATGGTTTAAAGAAATTTACTTCAGTGAAGTACCTTTAAGTCCCTCCTGTTGAGAAGACCTAAGTTAGAACTTTTCTCTGTTCACAGGGATATGCAGGCTTGATTATCCAGTCTGTTCCACCATTTATGTGGCTTACTATAACTGCATACAGCGCTATGCAATCAAGTATCCTCACTCTCCTACATCTGTGGCAAATTGTATTTGATAGAATTTTGGCATTCTTTCCTCACAGAGGCAAATTGACCATACAAAGTGCAAAGCAGTGGAGAACAGTTGTGAGTGGTTTGCTATGAGAGCTGCTTTTCAAAGGAAAATACCATTAATATCCCCATGTGTCATCCTACCCTTTGGTTATGGTTCCACATGATGCCACACCGAGATGCCTAAAGGTTTCCAACGTTACTGGTAAGAGACATAACCTGAAAGTCTCCCCAGTCCTGGTTCTTGCATCTATTACTTCTTCTCGAGGAAGGCCTCAATACTACAGTCAACGAGCCAAGTGGGCACGAGGACATGAGGGACAACCTGACAGCTGGCTTAAAACAAGAGCCACAAGGGAGGAGGAGGAGGAGAAAAAACGGGATGCTTTGCATCTCAGGCACCAAAACCTGATAAAATACACTTTCATTTGAATGTGCCAAATAAACTTACAAAACCCTGTGCTGGTTTAAACCACAGATTGCTTCAAACAACATCTGGAAGTTTGAACAGCTGGAAGTTATGGCCTTGTGATACAGTAAAGGCCATTGCCATCTTTTTTACATTTGGGACTTTAAATACTTGCCTTTACCGTGGTTTCAATTCTTTTTCAGTAAAAGACAGAGTAGGAGGAACTACTTGAATTGAAGTAAGACCAAAAGCAAAAATGTAAACAAAAGCTATAAACTACCCATAACTAAATCAATAGTAATATGGTTATCTGTTTAGTTTGATTTCCCAGCACATACACTCCAGTTCCCCCAAGTGCAGTACTGCACTTTGAGGGGAAAATGCTGAAATGCCACTGGACCAGCTGATAGTTTCAGAGGATATGGAAAAGCAACTGAAGTTCAGACCTATTCAAATGTGTGTCCTGCTGGCTAAACACTCTAGGGTCTAAAAAAGACCTTTTCTATATTTTTTGCATACCTTGCATACACTGGCACTCAGATTTGACAAAATACCACAAGCAAGGAGAGTTTGGAGTAAAAGCACACAATGCACCACTCTAGAGCTGGTGAAAGGTGTCAGATGAATCTTCTGATACAACACAGCAGCTTCTAAGTGTATTCAGTCCTTGAGAATACCAGTTGTGATGGTTGTTGCTGGACTGAGAACTGAGTCTTACTCCCCAATGGCTACTGTGTAGCTGGCTGGCTGGAAATGGTGTTTAGGCACTACTATCTTGGGGGAATTGGAGCCAGCATTGTAGAAGCAGAAGATGTTCTGTCAGTGCCAATCCCCACAATCATCTAGTCCTTTGGATTTTGTTTTGTTTTGTTTTTTTAATGTTAGCCGGAAGCAGTGTGGCTAAATACATTTTGAAACAGGAAAAAGGCTGACCCATGTTACTCAAAAAGGACAGTGGTGTGGTTTGTCTTTTCTATTTTTTTAATAGCAAAGCTTTGACCATCCTTTAGTAAAACGCGTTCTGCTTGCTTCCTCCCTGCCCCAAGCTAATATGCTCTATAACGCTTCTCTGGCTTAGTACAGCTCTTTTTAGCTGCTGATTTTTGTAAGCATCTTGTTAATAGCCTGCTTGACATGGGTGGTGGAGCTCCGTCTCCGAGTCTTGCCCTGCACCATCTTTCGACGCCGTACCTCACGACACAGCTCATAGAAGGCCTCCATAATGTTGCCTTCTCCTGTGCAAGCAGAGCACTCATAAAATGCACATGCTAGTTCTGTGGCCAGCTTTTCACCTTCCTCTGTGCTGACCTGCCGGGAGTGATCCAGGTCTGCTTTGTTCCCCACCAGGATCAGAGTGACGTTCTTTGGTTTTTTAACTTCATCCAACAAGTTCTTAAGCGGCAGCACTTCCTCAAAGCTGCCTCGGTCCGTGATGTCGTAGACCAGCACAAAGCCTTCACCCCACCGGACATGTCCTTCTTTCTGAATAGCATCCTCCTGTTTCGAAAAGACAGACACCAGCCTTTAGAATCTGGTTTTTGGAAAAAAACACTGGTCCTTCAGAGAGATGTTCATCCCCAAACCTGCAAAGCCATATCCATCTCCTTGACTTTGTACTATCTGCATGTCACCTTTTTTTTGTGTGACATAGGAGACTTCACTCTGTCAAGGTGTTAAGAGCTGCTTCTGGGCAGGGTGGTAACAGGCAATCAGAACTGGGACTCTGCTGAACAATATCCAGCATGCAGACATAGGACTGTTCAGTGTGAGCACCTGCCATGTTTTCCAAGCAAGGAGGGCTGGCTGAGACAAAACCGCTCTACGTTTTAGTGGGAATCATTTACCAGGTGACATTTGTGTGGACACTTGTGTAGGTCACCCAAGCCTCTGGCTGTCGAGCTTCAATTGACTGTAAAAACAGACTATGACTTAGTGCATAATAATAACATATATTGCATTTGCCCAGAATCAGAGAATGAGAACAAGATCATTTTAATGCTAGTGTAAATTCTGCCTTTGTTTGTTCATCCTGTGTTTGAAAACTTGAAATATGGTTCCTTACAGAAGGGTCTGCATCCAACACAGTGGGTCTGGCAGCAAGCTGTTGGTGGGGACGAGGGGGGGACTCTGCTCAGAAGCAAATCTCAGTCTCCAGAAGCGGTACGCTGGCCACCCATTACATTGCCACGACTGCACTCCCCTTCTCTACAGTCTATCTTATTCAAGGTATTGGATATTAATACATGTAGCCACGCACCTGACCAGCTGTGTCTAGTATCTCCATGGAAACCACTTCATCATCAATGGTAGCTTGGTGACGATACGTAGACTCTAAAATAAGAACACATTTTGCAGAATGTATTAGAAGAAGGTGATTTTTTTCTATCTTCCTTATGGCTACCCCAGCACAAGATGTGTGATAGGACATATAGCTTCACTAAATTTCACTTGTTGGAGCTCTTCCAACCAGTCTGGAGCACACTCGAGTCCTGCTTTCTACCACTGAGAATCTTTTACCTCTCCCTATATGGCACAACTCTTTTTTTCAAATGTCTTGTACCTACAACAGGCTATACCTGTGGACCCTGTACTCTGCACCCCCAAAAAGGATAATCTCCTTCAGTAAAGAGAACTGCAAGGCAGTATTTCATATTCACTCATAGGAATATGAAAATTCACTCAAAAGTTGCTGCTCTCAAAGTATCCAGCTCAAAAGCTTGTCACTGCTTAGCTTGAAATATGGCAAGATTGAAACTGGTATGGTTGCAGATCAGGGAAGTATTCAGGCTAACCACTAAGCACAGGCCTTAAACTATGATAAAATTACAGAACAGTTAGCTATTTTAGGAATGTCTCTTGGAAACATGCTGAAGTCATCACATCGTCCTCTCCTAGCAGGGGCTCCAGCACTGATTTCCCTGTTCATGTTTTATAAAGAATTGCCAGTGGGCACTAAGCATTCACACTACAGGAAAAAGGTCTCAGGTTCTGGAGCCAGGCAACTAATCAGAAACCTAATGACAAAAGGGTTTATTTTATCCTAATGAGCTGGTATGTTAAGTGTGATAGCGTTTGACCTAAAACTTGGAAAATGATCTGTGCTAACGTTCAGATTTATTACTGTTGCTAGCTCACAGATGTCCTATATCAAAAGGCAAACGCATACGTTGTAAAACCGACTAGTGTAAAACTAGGAATGCTTTGCATTGTCAGAGATGCAATTCTTTTATTTGGTGCAAATCTCCTCAACGGGAATGAAGGGTAAGTTGAAGGAAACACATTTCTCGAATCAGAACTGCTGAAAGGGTTCGCGTTTTATTGGATAACTTTTTCCCCCCCTACTTACAAATGTCTCCTCTTTATAATCATGAATGTTTGAATGATGTAAGTGCTACAAACACTCTTCCCAAACCAAACATGTCACTTCCCTCCTGTGCCACCCTAATTGCTTTCAGTAGTACAGCTGCATCTAATAGGGACAAATGGTCAATTTAATTAGGCAGATAACAGCCAGTCTTGTTGCAGGGTTTCAGGCAATCAAGGCCAGATTTGTAGAGGCAGTAAGGTTGCTGAAGGATTTGTAGTCCTACCTTTGTGATCCTGAGGATATACCTACGGAGTAGAGTAAGATAAGTTTAAGTTTCTCATTGTGTTTTCTTCTTCCCTTCTGGGTGTCCTCCTAGCTGCAATGATTCTCTCATGGGAATGCAGAAAAGCAGAAGCCCTACCTTGGTGTGGAAGCTGCAATGATGCCTCCTTAGCAAGTAATTTCAGTAGCTAAAAATCTCAGTGCCAGGCTGGGGTTCCCTGTGCACCACTCCATGTCTGAAGTTGCTTAGGAATTTATGCCTCATTTCTTTGGGGGAGAGCAGTGCAAAGAAGGGGCAGTTCTTTGAGTGACTAATGTGATGTTGGCTCCTTAGTCTTTTAGGCCTTGTAATGTTTGCGTGCCTTCAGCCATCTAGCCCTGCTAGACGAGCAGCTGTTGAGAATGGGTCTGCCAGTTTGAGGAATTGCTTATCCATCTGTACTTGCAGTGTATCCATGAAATGTCCTTAAGGATGCAGAGTGTGGTAGGCTGTTCACCATGAAACTGGAGAATAAATCTCAAGGAATAGACTCATGCCTGCTGCAGAAAAGCAGCATGATTCTTAAAGGCACTTGAGTTCTCAAAAAAGGATTTTACACTGCAAATATAACTTGCTTTGGCTGCCCACCTTAGGGTGGAATTTGGTCCTGGATGAGAAGCACACTGATTTGGGTCAGATTAGTGTAAATATATCTTAGTGAAAGGGTGTCTGTTTCTGTGCTTTGGAATGTGCTGCAGTTGGGTGAATTTTAATGAGGAGTGTAAAACAGCTGGATTTCTAAAGCATTCTGGGTGTAATTGCAGGTGTGGGCCCTTCTTTAAGGGAATAGAAACATCCTAAGAATCTGGTGATCTAGTGAGTTACAGGCCCTGAGGTCTTGAATTCCAGTTAGGTGATGTTGAATGCCCTAAAGCCTTAAGATCCCAGAGCACCTTAGGTATGCATTGCCTTGCTTTGGTATTTGTTAGTATCGTTTTCCCCGTGCCCCGTTGTATTTTGAGACGTTCAACCAGAGAGGTGTTAGGTGACTTTAGATATCTCCTGGATCGCTAACTGAAACCATCTACAGTGCAGGTGTCTGTCTCCGCTAAGTACCCTTGACTCCTATTAGAGCTGATGAAGTAACGTAGGTGGTGGGTTTGGTTTGTCTGATCTCTTTTCCTGGGATGAACCACACCTTAGAAGCAGAAGTCTAAAATTGATCTGATAAATCCAAGCTCTAAATGTCTTGTCCTTTTGTCATCGAGATCAAGTAGAAAGGGCAGAAATGTAAAACTCTGTGCCGGTGATGCTCCTGAGACTCTGGGCAACTTTCTGAGCTCCAGAATATCATTTGTATCAAGTCATGCCTACATATTATATCTTTAGTTATATGGCTAAAACCTCATAGATGTAAAATAAACGTCACAGCTGTGTCTTGCTATCCATGCACGCAGTGTCACAACTGAACTAGCCTCAAAGCAGAACCAGTGATCTGTTGATGATAGAGCCACAGTATGCCTGGCGCTGTTAGCAATGTGGAAACACAGTAGTCGTATTCAGCTCTTTGCCGAATTTCGATGCAAGTAAGTAAATCTGACCCATTATTGTTGTTTTCAGGGTGTAATAGGCTTCTGTTTGTATTCTCAGTAACTGGATAAAAGGTGTTACTGACTGCGTTGCTTTGACAGCTGACATTGTTGTTTTCAAGGTCCTGCTTTGGTTATAATGCTGTAATCCCCTAGCGCTCTTGTTCTGCAAAGCACTCTTGATTCTGGCAGTTCCATCTTTTGAGAAATTAAAGCTTATTCTAGAAATATTTAGACTCTGTCAAGAGGCCTGACAACCATGTTGCAAGTGGTACCTGTTGATTTGTTTTTTCAGTCTGAAATATATTGCCACAGTAATTCATTAATGGAAACCTGATAAAATTTCCAAATCACCACATCTGCAAAATAGTTTCAAAAGAGGAAATAATGGCTTTTGCAAAAGGACTTTTTTCCTACCTTTTACAAAATCTCTTTCTATTCTTTTGAGCTGTATGATTTTAAAAAAAAAATTATCCAAAAACCTACTAAATTTATACAGAGAAAATTTGATGTCCGTGATCCACAGGGTACCCATGGATATGGATATTCAGTTACAGCTTGATCACATCACATCCCTGTGCAAAGCTTATTGTGACATATTCAGTAGAGTTTTGGCCTGGAGGACTTAGATAGTCCTGTACAAATAGTTTTGATAAATGACTATACTGAGCTAATCAATATATTTGGTCCAGAAGACTACATTTTTTCTAGGGAAAAATTATCATCTGAGAAGTAATGGCTAGATCTTGGTCTATATTCACAATGATGTAAAGATCTGATTTCAATACCTCTTTATTTTGGAAAGACAGCATATAGCAGGGGTATGGCACAGCTCTGGGAGGAAATATTTACGTAGTAATGCTTTACTGCTTTTAGGAAAACACAGTAGGAGTGGGTAAACCATTTAAGATGAAGCAACGACATACACCATTTTACACTTACATTTAGGCTACAGCATGGTCTTCCTTTTCGCTGTTAAGTACGGACGCGCACAAACTTCACTTCCATCCAGAATTTTAGTTCATTTTAATCAGAAGTTTAACCAATAACTTTGGTCTCGTGGGGGCTTTCAGCCAGTTGGAACTGAAAGCTGCTAGAGATCCAGAAAAAGAGCTGTTTGTGTAATAATTATAGCTGAGTTTCCAGACCAAAAAGCTACAGCTAATAGGGTTGAACTTTTAAGTTAAAGTCTTGTTCAGTGATGCTGCAGGAGTATGTTTAAAAGTTCCCTTAATTATACCGATACAGGTTCTTGGTTCCCTCGTTCCCCCCAGATAAACTCCCTGCTCAATTAGACCCTCGTGATCTTTGACGTTCATCAGAATGGCACCTGTCGCTATCGCACTTGAGAAAAGTGACTTTGACAGCACTTCAGAAAAACAACTTACCTCTGTTTTACTAATCCTAGTGTTGTCTGATCTTGTTCTCCAGAGCCTTGACTCAGTCTGCCTTTGCGAAATCTTTCCCCCTGTGCATTTCCTAGTTGCTCCAGGGACCTATGTCACCTTTTATACGACCCCTGTAACTAGAATAAACTTTCCTAACTCCCCAAGTCTTTCCTGCCTTCTTCCTCCCCCCACCACTAGCTCTACTGAAAACTCAGCTGCATGTATTTTTATTCCTTGCTTTAGCTGCTGCTTACTCCATCCATTATTTACCTTATAGGATGCCTTTTATTCTGCCACCATCACTGAATTTACAGGAAACACAGTTCAGCCTTTGTCATTTAGAGTACAACTTTAACACTGTCACGGTGCGCTCCATGTTGAACGTACCCCACATTTCTCTTCATTATCTGATGTTGCAGATCCAAGAATAAACAAAATGGGTTATTTATTATATATTAATAATACCATCAGATAATGATGCCATGCATTGCTATCATTTTTATCACGTGTCGTATAGTAAAAGAAGAAAGTTACCGAAAGAAAATCGCAGAGTAGTGGTTTTAGAGGAGCCTGACAGCTCTAATAATTGGACTTGGCTTTTCAGCGTCTTAAGTGTTTCTGCAAATGTAACCCCAAGAGTCAGGAAATACAGAAGGAAAAGTTCCAGAAGGTTGTACAATACCTGTGAAATACTCTACACGGTAAGATTATCGCACTACGCAAGCATAAATGTAAAGGCACAAAATTAAACCGAAACGCGTGCATGAAAGAACAAGGTATTTGTT